AGGATCTAGCTCTAGCGTAATCTAGAGCATGAATTCGATATATGATTAAATATATCTAGAAGGGCTTGTAGAGGGGGTAAGGAACCAATTCTGAATACCTTACCGGTTTTTACCCCAGGACTCCTGTTTTTGCCCTACTTTCTTATCTTCTTTTTTATTATAAGGTGAGCGGTCCTGTGGTATTAACATAGCACACATATCAGCAAAAAAATTTTTCAGATCCAGGTCAGTCTCTACAAGCATTTTATCAAACTCATTAGGGTCAAGTATTACATTATCATATCTTTTTGTATATAAAACGCTTGTCATTTTTTAATTTGATCACCTAGTAATAGGTTAATTGGTAATGTTGGAGTAGACGCTTCATTATAGGACTCATTTTGTGCAGGCGCAGGTGTAGGTAACTGATTTTCAACAATAACTGTATAATGAGGACTACAAAATTGGTAACCAGGTAGCAAATAAGGATACGACCGAAGATTTCCTTTAATAGATGCCTTTTTTATTGCCAAGCTAGATAGACATCGAAAATCTTTAGAGCTTTTATCACAATTATAGATAGAACAGGGGCCATGGTTAATTTTGCTTTTCGGCATTTTTATCACGAAAGTTTTGAAAATTACTATATTTGATGCGCTTATATGAATTAAAAATATATTAAATTTTGCTCAATTTATTATTTATTTGTCATACAGGTACAAGTTCGAAACAATTTTGTAATAAATACATATAAAAAAAAACTAATAAATACATATAAAAAAAAACTAATAAATACATATAAAAAAAAACTAATAAATACATATAAAAAAAAACTAATAAATACATATTAAAAAAACTTCAAATATTTTGTAAAATTTTTTATGAACGTATAAAAGAAAAAAACACTAAGGCCATGTAAAGTTAATTAATTGGTTCTTGTAACCCAGCCGGGTCAAATTTTGAAAATTTTTATAAAAAATTTTTTATATATTTACAAATCGTTACATATAAAATTAAAAAAAAAGCCGGCCGGCCGGGTCTATTTAAAAAATTTCATGTTACGAGAACCAATAAATTAAATTTGTGTGGCCTAGACATATAATTTTTAAACTTGTGGCGTATTTAGAGATTTCTTGTATTTTCGCTTCTGTATTAAAAGATATGTTTGTATGAGCCAATCGGAATTTAATTCTAATTTTGACCAATTAAACGACGATCAGATTTTGGCCAATCAAATGGATCTTTAATCATGCTTGGATAAGTTACATCGTTTTTTAAGTTCAGTAAATCACATGAGTTCATACTAAATAATGAGAAAGCGCTTGTTCATAGACAAAAAAAAAATAATAATAATCTTTTAATAGTTTTGAAGCGTCACTTTGTCAAACTATTATTACATAAATTTTGTCAATAGATAGAGACTAACACTAATCATAGCTATTTTTTGATACATAGCCATAATCACTATTTGTAAACATTGGTAATATTTAAAGATCAATACCAATTGCTGTAAATATTTAAATCATTTCCCATTCTACTATATCATTATTCTTATTGCCTTCAATATCATTATGAAGCATATCACTTTTAGAGATATCAGAAAGCTCAGAAGTTTTAGATGAACCACCCTGTATTGTTTTGACTTGTTTAGGAGCGGTATCAAAACATTCTACATTATGCATAACCTCAAATTCTTGACTGTCAACTAACAACATCTTTAATTTATGATTTTCGTCCCTCTCCTTTTTAAGACTAGTGCGAAGGCTACTAATCATACGGTTAGCAACATCAAGAGCTTTCATTGTTTCAACATTCAAATTTTTGTTAGAAATTTTAATAAGTTGAATATTTTCATCATGAAATACATCATTTGAAGTAGAGTCGTTTAAGAATGAATCCAATTGAGATTTTAAATCTTCAATATTATTTTCCGTATCTTTTCCATATAAAGATTTTAAATTCTCAAGATCTGAAGTTAATATTTCTTCTTTATCTTTAAGTTGCTCTATAACATCAGTTGCAGTTGCGAGAGCTTTTTCAATATTTGAGTAGTCATTACGAGCTTTATTAAGTTGTTGCTGCGAATCTTCTAGTTGAGAACTAAGACCTTGATTAGTTAATTCAAGATTCCAAACTTTTTCATTTAAACGATCTAATAAAAATAAAAATAAAATAATATTAATTATTATTAAAAGAAGAATATTAAATAATTTTTTAAATTAATAAAAATTATTATACCTTTAGATTCTTGATTTGCATGTAGAGTTTTATTAAGCTGTTCGATAGTACGTTCTAATTCAACTTTTTTACTATCGAGATCTTTTATTCTTTCATCCTTTTCTTGTAATAAGATTTTACGATTATTTTCCATATCTTTTTTTTTCATATCATATAAAGATTTAAAATTTTCAAGATTTGAAGCTAATTTTTCTTCTTTATCTTTAAATTGCTCTATAACATCAGTTGCAGTTGAGAGAGCTTTTTCAATCTTTGTGTAGTCATTACGAGCTTTATTAAGTTGTTGTTGCAAATCTTCTAGTTTAGTACTAAGATCATGATTAGTTAATTCAAGAGTCCAAACACGTTCATTTAGGCGATCTAATAAAAATAATAATAATAATAAATTGTTATTAAAAATATATTAAAAAATATATAAAAAAATATATTAAAAATATATTTAAATAATTTTTTAAATTAATAAAATTATTATACCTTCAGATTCTTGATTTGTATGTAGAGTTTTATTAAGTTGTTCGATATTACGTTCCAATTCAACTTTTTCACTATCAAGTTCACCTATTCTTTCTTCTTTTTCTTTTAATAAAGCTTGTAGACGCCTAACTTCTAGTAATAGGCCTTGACCTATTTCAGTAGCAAACTCTACATCTTTTTGCCGACCTTTTACAACATTACGCTCACGTCTTGAGGGGGGCTTTCGTGACGATGTAGTTGTTGAAGCTGATGATGTTTCTACAGCAGGCGTCATTGGAGCAGAAATATTTTGTGAACCTAGTTTTACCTAATAAACAAAAAAGTAATAAAGTCATTTAATACGTAAACTTAAGATTTTTAATACTTAATACTTTACATATTTCAATGGTATATATTACTATTTAATCTTTCAAATCAAACATGAGCAAGTTCAAAAAATATTCGATGATTTAAATTATGAATAACTTTTCGAATCGAAAATATTATTTTATATAAATATTAATAAATTTTCATTTTAAAAGAATAAAACTTACGTTAGGACCTTTTTTTGAACCCAAGGAAACCTTTGCAGATTTGGCAAGTATATCATCGCAATCTTTTTCAAAGTCAGTTAATTTAACTTTTAGTTCTTGTGAAACTTTATTATAATCAAATTTTTTATCAGATTGCTTTTCTAATTGTTGTTTTGAAAGAGCAGTACTTAAGTCACTTAGAATAGTATTTTTGTTTAATTGATCTTGCTGTTGTTTTTTTAATGCAGCAGTTGATTGAGTATTGTTAAAAGATAAAGATTGCCGTGGAGTTAAGTCAAAGTTATTTAATTTAACTCTTAGAAGAGAGGTAGGGACTAAACTATCGCCACTCTCTAAATTATTTGCCATTTTATTCTCTTTAGGTTTGATTGATTATGAAGAGGTTCTCAAAAAAGATAAAATAGGGATAATAAAGAGTGTAGAAATGTAGGTAATAATAATAACGAGCTTATGCTTATTAGTATATTTTGACACAGTAAAGATTTAAAAAGAAAGAGCTCCAAAAATCTTTTAAAGGTAGTAGTGAGTTGGTTTATTTATTACGATACAATTACTACGTATTCTAATAAGAATTTTATCTAAAGAAGAAATAACAATTCATATTAGAAAATATAAAGGTTAATTTTTGTAGCGGAAGATTGCAACGGAGAATTGAAACGGAGATTTGTAGGTAACGGAGATTTGTAACGGAGAATCTTATTTCAAACAAGTCCTATAGGATGGCGTTAATATCAATCGGAATTTGTTCAATTACGCTTAGTGCATTGACGCATCTAAAACAGGAAAACAACTTGTTTAACAGATAAAATACATTTACGTATTTTTTTCCTAAATAATAAATATCGATAAACGATAAGCGCAGTTCGTAAAAGGGAGGTTTATGTAATTTATAATTAGCCTGGCCGAATCAATTTTGAAAAATCCAAATGTGGGAGGTATTTTTCTTAAAAAAAAATAAAAAGAAAAAATCGGTTTAATTAAACTTTCATAGGTTTAAAACTTTATGCTTGTATATATTATATAATAAACCTAAATAATTATTGTTATGATATTATACATACGTACAGTACATACGTATACAAGCTGCTAATCATAAACATTATTTTTAGTAATAAATCTATTAAAGAAACTTTATGCCTAGTCATTTAAGCCCTTGTGTAATTTCATTGAGTTCATAATGCTACACAAAATTAATTAATTGGTTCCCATAACATATGAAAATTTAGCGACCTGCCGCAGATAAGCGTAAATACCATTTCCAAGTTTAGGCAAAACCAGTAACGGTAAAGCGATTTTACAGCAATGCCACTCAAAAAAAGGCCAAAATGATATTGGTATTAAAAAAGTAATCCGCAGGATTAATGTTCCTTACCAAAATTCAAAGGACGAAACTACGAAAATTTTTATTATTAATAATTATTTCGATGAGTTTCTACGAGGTGCGTACGTACGTACTTACGTACTTACGTTGATTAAGTGCTTACGTACATTATTGATAAACAGTAATAAACAGTAAAAAGGATACTAAACCAAAAAACTTTATGACAAATACAATCGGCATTGTCATTGCATTTTAATTTATAACAATATATAAATATTGTGTAAATGATAATGACGATAAGTTCGGCAAAAAGAATACAATTTTTTTTTCTTTTTTTAGTTCTAAATTCCTTAAGACAGATTTTTCTGGCAACATCACGTAAATTCTATTATTCGATCAATCAAATCATTAAAATTGGCATTAGCGTTAGTGTTGGAATCTGGTCGTCCGTGTTCAAAGTAGACATCCGGATATCCATAATAGTTCAAGTTCCAACGTCAACGTATAGCGATAGACTCTGACATCTTTTTTATCAAAATATTTATAGCTCGTACAGTATATCCCTGTCTCTCCTCCAAACACACAAATCATTCTCCACAAGTTTTAGAAGTACTATGGGGTTGCAACCTCCGTATTTCTGTATTATACTATTGGTATAATACCAGTATCAGGTATTATACACATGAAGATAGGTATAATACCAATACCCTAGGCGTAACGGATATTTTCACTCACATAATCATTGACATCGCAAATATCACGCCTGAGAACCTCTTACCAAAAATCAGTTACGTAATCAATATCTAAAATCTAATACTCGGCCAGATCTCTCAACTCAGCAGGTTTAACGACATTTTTTGTATCGATATTATAAAATACGGTAAAATTTTATTACGCAAAAAAAAAAATGAAAAAAATCATGTTCATTCGAAATTATTCAGTGAATTTTATTATATATCTAACTTTATATATTATAACATATTAGATATTTCTATATATCCATCACCTTTCTCGCATTCAATTGCTATTAAGTTTGTATGATCTATCAATGTTGTTTTTCTAATTTGTCAAATTCGATCTAAAAAGACTTGTAGTTACATTAAGTTCCTTCTTCGCCATTATCCATAAGTGTTTATACGTAGGTTATGTCTTTAAGATCTTCTGATTCTATGACATTCTCATACATTTCACAACATCATCCATATCCTGCTCTCAAATTCATTACATTTATCCGACAGGATGAACAATATTTTGAATTCGATTGGGTTAATAATCGGCTTCCATTAACTAAATTTTCAATGAAAATTATAGAAATTTCTAATACGTAATACTTGTTACTATGTTATACGTAAACAGAAATCGTCATACGCATTAACAGAATCGTAATAAATGATACGTAATACATATTTTTAATAAATTTTTCGGAGAAGATTTTTTAACTCCGTGCGTACGTAGTGGTCATGCTATGTTCGTGTAACGGATATCAACCCTTTATTCAGCTGAAAATAACGATAATACATTTATTTTATTCAATTGTATGTTTAAACCTAATTTAGATTAGTTTCCGTACACTGTTTAACGTGTGAATTACATGTTTCAGTTTGATAATGGTCAACATTATTTTTTCGTTTTTTCTGTAATTGAATTAAAATGCCGAGGCCGAGAAAACGCTTCAAGAAACTCAATTTGGAAATACCGCCCGAAATCTGGTTAATCATATACAGTTATCTTAGTTGGTATCATAAAAAAAAATTCAGTATGTTAAATAGAACGATATATTTAAAAGGATTCAAACCTTTGTTTGATAAGAGACGGAGAGTTGTGAAAGGCGAACATGTGTTCATGGATAGGTATGGGATAATTTACGATATCCTCGAGAAGTCAGATGATAACAAAGTCATGGTGAAGAGAACTCATCCACCGTTGGTGAACCCGTTTACCAAGCCTCTCGAACGAAAAATAAAGTTCGCAAAGACGATGGGTACAACTCCATATATAAAAATTATGCCAGGAGCTTTTTACAGAGTCAAAAAGGATAAGGTTGTTAATCTTGAGATCGGTGAACGACGTAAATATTTCAAAACTAAAATAGACCGTATAAAACAAAAATATTGTAATACTAAGAAAAAAACAAATCAAGTCTCTTGAATTTGAATCTGTTAATATGTAAACAAGTAAATGTGTATATTTCTAGACTAAATTCATTTTATTTATTATTTCTACATGAAACAATTTGTTGTAGCTACTCAACAGAAATTATTTATATTAATAATCCAACAATAAAATTTTTATTTATAAAAATAAAAATATTTATAATAATTTATAAATTCTTATGCTATTATATTTATATTTATGGGTGATTGCGTTCTCTTGGGACCCATAATATTACCGCAATCGAAAATAATCTTTTGGAAGGCGTGGACGTGGCTGAAACTGAGAGGTAAGTACGTGCTAAGCTGCTTATAACTGGGAATCCTTTCTTGTACTGTACATACTGTATTCCACCAAACGAAAGGGTCGAAATCAGATGATATCTGTCAAATTAAGAGGGGATGTTGAGGTTGTTGATAAACTATTTTTTGCACTATGATATTTGGTTCTTAACAAATCTTGAGCCTGTTTTATTTTATCAGACGTAGATTTGAGTTTTACAACAAGGGTCAAGAATGGAAGGTAATAAATAGGATTCGTTATTACAGTATTCTTTTTTCAGTAAAAACACATCATTCGGTATAATTATTCTTTAACCTCCTCCAAAACTCCAAGTGTTTGCATGGGCTTATCTTTTTATGTACTGTATATCATCCTCATATTCAAATATCTTTGATGCTTTCAATATTTATTTTTTCAAGTAATTCCGACGAAGGCTTAAGTATGTTAATAATGCTTATTATTATAGGCCGTAAGTATCATATTTTCATATTATCTTGCTTCTAACTCATGAATATACGTTATATGAGTGATCCAAGGGAAAATGGGATATTGGTTTACCAATGATTATTTATTTAATAATCAATGATAAACCAATGTCTCATTTTCCCTTGACGTCACTCATATAGTCTTCCATTTCCATGCCCGGTAACTGAATATCCATGGTTAAAAATGAATATTCAATTAAAAGCAAATATTCTGTTACACAAAATTCGCGAATATTTGTTTAGAATTAATATAAACAGAATATTCAATGAATATCCGTAGATTTTCTTATGGGTGTTCATGAATATTCATGTAAAATCCAGATATTCGTTCATTACTATTCACGGATGACTAAAATCTGGGAATATTTATTGAATAGTCATGATGGATATTCAAAGGATCCCACTCTAACTGGTCTCAATCACGTGTTTCATATGTTGAATTCTTCTTAACATCCTAAAATATGCATCCAATTAATGATTTGTATCAAATTTATAAAATTCAAATAAACAATTAAAATATGAAAAAAAAACTTTTACCTCGTTTGATCTTTTTTGGATGAGTTGACGAGTCCAATCACTACAACAGAAAGTTTAAATTAATCAGGTTTAACCATCCTAAACCAAAGTTGGTAGGATATCTGGGATTTAGTCAAACGGATCCCAACATTATTTTTTATATAGAATAAAGATCTTGATGTGTCTCTAGTAAATCGAAAAGTTTACCATATTAATTTAATCTGATTGGCTAATGATCACGTCTTTAAATTAGTCAATCATATGAGAATATCGCATATAAATAAAACGATTCGTTTTTACGTGATCTGCCGAATTTTGATCGCGCCACTAATCCATCCAAAAATTAATTGAACATATTATATAATATACAAGAATTTTTTTATTAAATTCACAATGGATCTTACGCGTCATTATATATTTTTGCAATTAATTAATTGTTCCATCATTATCGGCACTACTATTCATCAAACCACAAAAGATCTCAAATTTAAAGCGTGCAAAATATTGCAAAAAAGTTGATATTGCAATTACACATAAATTAGATGAATATCAAATTAGTAATGTTGACAATTCCAACTTACTCCACATCACATCAAGCCTAACAACTTACTTCATTCACCTTTTCAACTTCAGTTGATATATTTCTATAAATTCTTGGCTGTCTCCTCTACCTCTACTTATTATCAAACATTGGATAAAAAACTACAAATTACAATCTCAAAATCAAACTGCTCAATCTGAACGGTCTTCACTAATCGAACTATTGGACAATGTTATTTACGCATATCAAATTTTTTTTTTTTACACTGCACCAAGAAGGAGCTGCTTAAATGTCCTCCTCATTACAAAGAAAAATAAAATTGCGTAATATATTTTTTGCACAAGATTGCATCCCATCCTTATCATGGTAAAATTTTTACACTATGTAAACGCGACATTGTTTTATTATTATATAATTATAAAAAAATAAAATAACCCAAAAATTTGGCACAAATATATGTTCATTATTTTAAATACAGTAATTATCGGATTTTTCAAGTACACATTTTAGATTCAGCCATGTAAATCTTTACTATGCAAAGAAAGATTTACAATAACGATAATAATGAAGATTTGAATGCAAATACTTCCTGAAAGTTTTCGTGATCTCAAACAGATTTTTATCTGGTTTGTTAATGTAAATCATCTGTTTGGGGTAGCTTGTGGCTTTCTACTGCTGTACTGCAAAGGCTCCATGTGTGTAATTGCGAAATGATAAATATATTAATTATTTCAAAGTAATTATTTCAAAGTAATTATTTCAAAATAGTTATTTCAAAGTAATTATTTCAAGAATTAATTATTTCAATTTAGACATGAAAATTAAATACCGTTTTTCACTTATACCAAGTGTTTTTTTTTTTAAGCATTTCTTAAGTAGGAGGTGTGTGGCATGCGAAACATAGGAAACCTTTTTTCACACGCAATTATAATTTACACTAGTAAGAGCTTTTATCTGAATTGATATCCTCTTAATCGTATATTTTTATGGAATTATTTCTTAAATATATATATTTTAAACGATGTTGTAATTACCGTACGATATTACCATCGAATGAAAAAATACATAAAGTTCCTTGTTTGATCAAATCGATTTTGTAATCTAAATTAAAATGCAATAATTCAAAACTAAAAAAATTTCCATGAAAAAAACGTTGTCAAAGTAACAATGAGATATCTTATTGAGGATTTAATAATCATGAAGGTTTCAATTTATTAAATTAAGGATAACAGATAAGATTTAAAGCAACGCAGGGATCACCAACAAAATTTCACGCTCACGTGATAACCGAAAATTTCTTTATCAGTTAATATACTTATCTGGCAGCTTATTATGGTTTTTTAATTAAATTTAGTATACTTATCTGGCAGCTTATTATGGTTTTTCTGCCGAATACATTTATTATTCGAAAGAGACAAGGAATTCAATTTTTTATTCAGATCTTAAATCTTTGATCAAATAAACCAGTTATCAGACAGTACCTGCCTTATAATCATTTTTCATGTGTAAAGGGATTGTTTTATTGATAATTTTTTATAAGATCGTGTGTCGATCAACGACAACCACGATTCAGAACTAACTTATGCAAGCTATTTAACGTAACTACTTATTGTCGCGGATTAAACTGGGATGAGGTTTCTATTTAACCCTCTAAACACACTTATTATAAACTCTAAAACTACCCTCTAACCCTAACCCCTAACCCTAAAAAAATGCACCTCGAAAATTTTTATTTTTCGGTGGCTTGTCTAGCCTTTACATTTGTACAATATTTCATTTTAATCCATCATTAGCGTTCGTTAGCGTTAGTTTTCAATTGATATCAGTCAAAATTAGTCTTAACCTGTATTTTTAACTATATACAATGTATCACTATTTGATTCGAATTAATGGTTTATAGATAAGTTTATTTTATCATCATCTTATCTGGGATGATAAGATAATGCAGTGGCTCGATCATCGATCAAAATATTGATCGATACCCTATTCTTAATTCTTACACAAATTTAGTTTATTTCAAATTGCTGCAAAACAAAGTATAATGTTCTTTAAAAGTTCGTGTGAATTTTTTCTTTCTTAGAGATTCCGAATAAGTTTCAACAATTTAATTTTGCAGGAGATTCCGAATAAGTTTCAACAATTTAATTTTGCAGGAGATATGGCTTTTATCACTAAATTTCGCATTTCTGAAGAAAAAAAATTTCTTTATTCTATTCTTAATTATTATGATTAATCGAATTGATTATAGATGTTTGTTAAAATGATCTCTTATATGATTCAAAAAAAAAAAAATTCTTTTTCTTTTATCGTTTTATGCTTCTTTCCCTGCACACTATGTTTATAAATACGTTGGTTTTCTTCCTTTCATTTTTTCCTCACGATTGCAACAGCAGTTGTAGAGAATAATCATATAATCTTTCCCTTTTCAATATCAATTTCTTCTTTCTATCTATCCTTCTTTAATCATGAATAATCAAAATCTTTGCAACGAACCCACTCGTCATCATCATAAGATCGCTGTTACTGCAACCGATCGTTGGTTCGGAAATGTTATAGCCAGATGTCTCATTATGGATAGCAAACATAGCGTCGTCACGGTCCGTTGTTTGGCTAAAGAAACCAATAAACATGTCAAGAAACTTGAGCGTCTAGGTGGTGAAATTCATAAGATTGATTATGATCAACCCGAATCAATTAAAGACGCTTTACACGGTGTTGAATTCTTGATTTTCGTTTGTGAAGCTGATAAAAATCGTGTTAAAGAAGCTAGAATCTTGGCTGACGTATGTTAATGAAAAATTATTTTTTTTCTTTAAATTATCTCTCCCTTTTTTAACATGATACCAAATTATATTTTGTGTGTAGGCTGCTGCTGATAAGAACGTTAATAACGCGATTGTTCTATCGTTAAAAGGTGTCGAAGATGGTGATGGCAAGGTTATGAACGATTTAAGGGATATAGAAAAGGAAGTGTGCCAAAGGATTAGGAATGCTTGTGTGCTCAGGTAAATAAAAATTTATAATTCATTATATTTATTATTCAGTTTTACTTGATTGTTATAATCATTCTTTTTCGTTTCTAGAAATGCTTTCATTCAACAAGGTGTAAGTATTATATTATTTAAAAAAATAAACTACTAATAAAAATAACGCCTATCTTATGCTATATTATGTCTACGTGCTAATAAATTTTTTATATATAGTTCTTCCTTTGGTCTCCAAATATTGAAAACAGAGGGGAAATTAATATGACTCCTCGTGAAAGTAACGAATGGGCTCCTGTTAATCTCGATGATATTATTTATTCGCTCGAATGTTTAATGTTACAAGAGGGCAAAGTAGTAACTGAACTCAACAAAAAACATCGAGGCAAGGTCTATTGTTTAACCGGTCCTGAACTTGTAAGTGGCCGTAAAATTGCTGATACTATCAATCGAGTCATTGAAGACAGAGGTGATGTTGAATACCGTTCCGTTAGTCGTCGTCAACTTGAAGAATACCTTAGCAACCTTGATCAAGATGATCTCGAACGTGATCCTGATCGTGAACGAGACCGAGACCGAGATCTAGATTGTGATTCTACTGATACTACTCTTCTTGAACAACGTGATGCCATTTATTTGGTTCAACGTGGATTGGCCTATTTGCACGAGTCTCTTGCTGACTTCTTTAGAAATACTCAACAATCTTTGGAATGTGGAAAATCTAACTTTATTGAAGGTGTCCATCGACTTGTTTCGGCAACCGCTTTGTTCGAAGAAGTTAACCGTCAACCTTCCGCCAGAAATAGTGGTACTAATCGAAACGCTCTTGGCTTGCAAGACAGAATTACTGGACCAAATCGATACAGAGATGTTCAAGAAGAAAGATTCAATAGGAACGTTGCTGCCTTTGTTGATACAATGAGAGATATAATTGCGAGATTGAAAAGCATTGATATAGAAAGATTTGAATTAGATACTCAAGATCGATTAATCATTTTATCCAACATTAAAGATGCCGTTGAAGTTATCGAAAATATCCAAAAGAGCCTTGATGTCATTCCATTCTTACTTGATGAACGTCGTCGTCGTGATCGTCATCCTAGGCCTTTCTTACCTTTATCCAAGTATGAAATTGA